GCTAGCAACAACCATGATAGTCGCATGTCACCACATACCGGAAATGGCAGGGAGGTGGACGCCGTCGTGCATCACCTCGTTCGATATGGGAAACCAATCTTGAGCACCCACACTCGATCGAGTGTACGCGTAATCGCTGGTTGACGCCCATGACTCGGAGACTCGGAGGCAGTGCTGCTGAACACAGTATATAAGGAAGGGTGAAGTCACGACAAATACGCACCTGCGTGTTGGCCCCCCCACTCGCAGCTCAGCGCTCAGCGCTCATGGGCGTTGAGAGCAAGGTGCTATTCGCCTATTCAGACCCGAATCGGCCGAAGGGCCGAAATCATATGTTACCGTGACGACGGCTGCCAGCTCATCTTGGCTCTGCCCAAGCTCTTACCCCACACACTCCGACACCCCTCGACGCCGACAATCATTGCTGGGCTAGGATCCATCAACCACTCCAGCGTCCCGTCGCGTCCCGTCGCGCCATTCCCTCCCGCGGATACACAGCAGCACTCTGACGCAGCTGCCCCCACTTGGCCTTGCAGCGCCAATCTCTGCAATTAACACGTGTATCGTCCCTGGGCCATTCTCCCCTGCCTCCTCTTGTTCCGCTGGTCCTTCGCGGCCGCCAAGACAGCGTCATATGCACGACACGACCATCTGACGGTGCGAGCATGCTTCTTCGCAATCACCCGCGTGCTGATGTGCCTTCCCCCAGTTCTGTACTTATTCAATGCATGTGGACGAGCGCACGCTGCCTACCGGTCTCCCTGCCCTTGCCCCCACACACGCCCGGGCCCGCTATGCTCTCCCTCCTCCTCCTGTTGGCCCCCGTGTCGGCGCTGGCTGCGCGCAACAACTGGAATAAGGCGTGCCGCGGCTCGTGCGCGTATGACCTCCCCAACTCGGGTGTCCTCTCGATCGTGCGTTGACAAATGTCTCTCGTTTCGAGTACTGACGCTCAGTTTATAGGTTGGTGGAGACAAGGCGGTCTCTGACATCACGTCTGCCGGTGGCTGGAGTGTCTTGAGCTGCGACGCCAATGCCCTGTCGCAGCACATCCGCCTCGTCTGCAATTCTGCTGCTTGCGAGCATCTTTTCGAGGGCCATGGTGCCGTCAACACCGTCGTCCGCCTCCCCGAGTCGGTGCGCTAATGTTATTTGTGTCTGACACAGACGAGGATGCTGATTCAGCTTGCAGTGCGGGGCCAACCCCTTCGCTCGTGTTGCCTCCGTTAAGGTGGACTCCAACCAATCTATCCCCGGTGGCGCGAAGTCCAAGCGTGCCGCTGGCAAGTACGCCAACACCGTGTTCTTGATCAGAGTCGATACCGACTTCGCGAAGGTCGATGCTAGTGTGTATGTGCCGATTCCCACGATTGTGTGCGATCTAATGGAGACCTCGCACATGGGCGTGGCCAAACGGCGTGGGCCTGCGCCAACGGGCGTGCACGCCCGTGATGGCGTGGGCGTGGCGTGGGCGGGCGTGGGACCCTCCGCGGAGGCTATGTCCCGTACTATGGCGGCGACCGCGACGCCTCGACGACCGTTATGTGGTGGTCACCTGTCCGCATCACCGTGGAGGCTTCAATCAAAACACATCAAAATGTGCTGATCGTCGTCAACCACGGTGCCAAGATGGCTTGGCCAAGCTGTCTCGGGTGCTGAACACGAGCTCAAGGGTGCGTTGGGCCCGCCAAGAGTTACTGGCCGTGGCCGTGGTCGATGCTGCACCAGCGCCCGCCCCTGAGCCAGCCTCCAGGCCGGACAGTGGCCGCCGCAGCTTACTCTCCCGCCCGGGCTATGGCTCGGTCTCTTTCCCGGCGCACCGGCGACACGTTACCGCTGGTGCTCTTCGTCGTCGTCAGCTGCGCCGTCGGCGTTCGACTCTGCGTCGGTCGCGGGTCGGGTCCGGCACGGTCCGGCCGGCGTATGGTCGGTGGCCACTGGCCACCAGCTCGCACGGTTCGCAGATCTCGCCGCCGACTGACGATGGTGTGGTGTGAAGCCTTGCAGCTCCGTTAAAACTCTGTAACAAGTGGGTATATAGAAGCCCACGCCCGTTTGTCTGTAGTGTTGTCTAGGGCCGGGCTGCCCTGCCAAGCCCTGTTTAGGGCCGGGCTTGCCAGGGCTCGGGCTTCCTCCCAAGCCCGAGCCCCGGCCCTCGGCTAAGGCAGGGCTTGGAGGGCTTGGGGCCTGAAGCCCTCCGGCCCTACCTCTTAACGCAGGAGGGCTTCGGCGGCCCCAAGCCCGAGCCCCGGGCCCTGGCAAGCCCCACCCCAGGGCCGGGCCTGGGCCGGGCTTCCGAGGGCTTGGCCGGGCTGGGCTTCAGGGCTTGGGCCCGGCCCTAGTCAACACTATTTGTCTGGCGCCAAGCGGGATAAACGGGCGTGCCAAGCCGACCAATGGGCGTGGCACGCCTGATGGACGGGCGTGGGCTTTGATCGTCAGCCAAATCCCACGCCCACGCCCATCCACGCCCGTTGGCGCAGGCCCACGCCCATCGGGCACGCCCGAAAGTGACCTCTCGATCTAATGTCCATCCGTTAGGACTGGCCCTGTCGAATTCCGCATCGAGGGGTACAACTACCAGGGAACCGTAACTGCACCAGCGAAGGACATTGCGAGACGCGGGGACAGTGCGTTTCCCATCTATGGCATTTGACTCCTATCTAACAGCATATTCAGATCCCACCGGCTACAACAATACTCTCTCCAGCACTCTGTCCGTGTTCCCCCGCCCCTTATCCGTTCACTGATGCAACTCAGCCCTCCCATCAAGCTCAACCAGAAATACCCGCTTTTCTCTGGTTCTGTCAACTGCCCCAACTTCACCGCTTCCGTCGCCACCGCCCTGAACGTTGACGTCGACCTTACTGTCTCGCTTGGGCTCGTTGTCGCGGGCACCGTCATTCCCGCCGATATCACGCAGTTCGCGGTGTTTGGTGGCCTCGATGGCCATGCAGGCGCACGTCTTTCGCTGGACGCTACGGCCCTCGTCAGTCTCTCTTTTCTGCTTCCATTTACTCGAGAACTGACTATGATACAGGGCACGTACTCTACCGGCAAGGTCCCCTTGTACTCTGTCGCTCTCGCGGGCGTTGATGTCCCTGGCATCTTCACACTTGGCGTACGCCGCTGTTCTCCCTTTCCAATGCAGGTTTCTGAGTTGTTGAATATAGCCCACCTTCGATTTGCTCGGCAAGGCCGACGCTAACATCAAGTCTGGCGACCTCTCAATCGGCGTTGATCTTAAGTACAACGTCGCCAACGCGCGTGCTTATATTCCGCCCCAGCCTTCTGCTGTCGGTGGCTTCAACCCGGACAACAGCCGTACGTCTTCTTCGTACTTGACGTTCTCCTCTCACTCGGCTCAGAACTCACCCTGTCTGTCCAACCTTCGATCAAGACCTCCGGGACCGTCTCGGGCCACCTTATCCCGCAGCTCACGCTCGGCCTGAACGCCTTCTCCGGTATCGCCAAGGCCCAGGTCTACCTTAACCTCGACGCCAGCACCGGCATCGACCTTTCGCTCTCCGCATCCGCCAACGCGTCCACCGGGACTTCGGGCAACGCGGCCTCGGGCACCGTCGACGGCTGCGTGGACATCTCCGCGGGGCTCGGCGTCAACGTCGGCGCGAGCGGCTCGCTCTTCGGGCTTATCGGCGAGGGCGAGTACCCGCTGTACAGCGGCGCATGGGACCTCTACGCCAAGTGCTTCAGCGCGGCTTCCAAGCGGGCGCCGGAGCCAGGCCGCGGGCTCCGCCGCATCGGGCTCGCCGGCGCGGGATACAGGCTGCCGGGCGACGCGCGCCAGGGGTTGGCGGAGCGCGCGGCGGCGGCCAACGGGCTCACGTGCCCGACGAGCTCGAGCAAGGGCCAGCTCGTGACGATCATCGAGCAGATTGTCGGGGCGGTGAAGAAGCCGTAGGCCCTAGGGTGTGTAAGTTTAAGGGTGTAAGCGACGTGGTGCATTATATTTCGGTGTATACCCGTTGTCATCATTGGAATTGGATTTTCCGCATATTATACACGGCCTGTGTCGACGTCGGCACGGAGGCCCGGGAAACCGCTGATGCTTAGGAACCGCTGAGAATTTATCAAGAGCATCATCGCACGAGCAACGGGGTGCTTACACGGACCCCCCCGTTGGCAGTGCGTTATCCAATCGGATTCGGCCTGTCGTCGCACTTGCTCGAGGGAGAATCTTGTCTTGAATTTCAATCAAAGGTTGAACATGGCCGAACTGGAAGTAACGGTCGCCTAGATCCCGGACTGGAAGATTCGTTCACATATCTAGCTGAAAAGCAAGGAACACCGGCCGTCATAAACTTTTTTCAAGTTGTCCTATGGCGGGAGGCGTAGAAGCTACGGGGGCACCGCGGCCGGAGCTGGAACTATTCTAGGAAGATAGCCAGGGGGGAATCATAGTCAGTATAGCAGTTAAAGCCAGCGTAGCAACAGGACCACACACAGTGACACGCACGCCACGCGTACTAGTAAGTAGACGACTGCCCGGGCCCTGTAACTCTGCACCCAGCCCGGCCCCGTCGGCCGCCGCTGCGAACAACTAAAGCGTTGTACGCGACAAAGGGTCTTGCGGCGTTCTGCACCGTCGCTCTACCCACCGTGCCAGCGAACGACGGGAAAAAAGAAGCTGCGTAAGCACCGCCTCGCGTACGTAAGGTCGCTGTCAAAAGAGAGTGACTGCGTGACACTTTTTTTTGCTTCAGACGATGTCTTTCGCTTCACACCACAGCCAACGATTTTCTCGGGCAGGGGCGGCACCAGTCGAGCGTCGCGTATGGCGCATACACTACTATTAGGACAAGAACGCGGATCAACGCGGATCCGCCGCAACCCTGCCCAGGCCTCCGTTCCTGCCCGGCACGGCTTATTTACTCAGTGCTCGCAAGCTCAGTCAGCGAGGACCCGTTACTTACAAAGCACCCGGCGTGGGCTACTCGGGAATGTATAAAACATGTCCTTGCCGCTGATGCTAGGAGTCAATGACCCTCCCCACATTTTCCGCTTCTACCACCGCCGAAGAGGCCGCCGACGCGCTCGCGGAGAGCATCCGGGGGAAGAACGGTGCGTGTGTTGACGAATCATGCGCAACAAGGGCTGACATCGAGCAGTAATCGTCACTGGGACGTCTCTCAACGGGATCGGCTTCGAGACCGCGCGTGTGATATCGAAGTATGCGAATTTGGTGGTCATTACGGGGCACAGCGATGAACGGTGTGTCGTCTTTGGGTTGTTTTAACTCCGAGTCAGTGCTGATAGGGCAGATATATTTCGCCGCCCACCGCCGCCCACCAGCCGCCCACCGCCGCGTCACCTAGCCCCATCGCCGCCCACCTTTGTCACGCTGCCGCAGCAGTCACACGAGTGGGTGGGCGGCGGGGTGGGCGGCGAAGTACATGATCTGACGTAATCATGTACTTCGCCGCCCACCGTCGTCGAGCAACTCACTGGGGTTGGCGCCAACATGTCATGCCTTACGGTTTTGCAGCGAGGAATGACGAATGTGCGATGGAGACTCTCAGGCCCATAGCTAGTAGTGCATCCGATGAGTCCGGGGCCGCGGCGGCTGTGTGAGCGCGCCGCCCAGGGGTGGGCGGCGAAGTGCTCAATTTTAATGTTTTGAGATTTTAGCTGGATTGCATACTCTTGGGTACTCTGTATAGCATAGTGAAGACCCCAATGCACAATTTGTAGTCATTGTGCTGCTGTTTCAATTCTAAGTAATGATAAATTTTTAGGGATTGTTGAATTGACATGTTACATGGTGTGTATAACCACATATATTATAGGATTAAGCTGTTCAGCAACTATATCGACCTTTCGAGGGCATGGGATGCCCAACGATCACAGTTAGATACAGCTCCCAATATTAATCGAGGATGGCGAGGAACTCGCGCTCGATGCGCCCCACGTCCCGCTTGCCGAAGACGCTGGTGCACAGCGCCCAGTGGACGTCCTTGAGTGTCGAGTCATTGCTGTACTTCGATGCGACGATGAGCGCCCCGAGGAAGACGCCCTTTAGCGCCCACTCTTCTAGGGCAATGGACAGATGGGCCCGGCGCGGGCGATGTAGACGAGCGACGAGGACCGCCCGGGTGAGCACGTTGTTGGCAAACAAGGCGATGTAGCACGACGGACCGCAGTCTGCGGCCCCTCGGTGTTCCATGGCGAAGTCAATCGTCTCGACAACCGAGTCAATAAGGTACTCAAGACACAGTGAGTCGAAAGGACAAAAGGCAAGATGCGACGCGACGCACCGACGACCGGCGTTGTATTTAGCCAGCACTAGAACTTGTCAGGCATGAGCTCCATGAGCGCGGCCGAGTTCGTGGCGGGATGAAGACGTCGATCCCTACTGGCAGGCCGTCAGCACACCAACAAGCAGCGAAGCGGGACGAGGCGGGAGGGCGATGTCGCTGTCATTAAAGTAGTGGTGCACTCGTTTGCGCCGCGCACCGCCGCTCACCTGAAAAGCATGCTCGCCGAGCCGCTCACTGGGCCGCGCACCATCCGCCGCAGCCGATCCTGGCGAGAGCCACATGGTCAGCACGCTGAGCATAGTGTTTTAGTGTTCTATCAGGTTGCTAGATGAGCGCGGTGTTGTGGTGAAAAAGGCGTGGTGCGGTGGTATAGTGCTGCTGGCAAGGTGCCGCCATAGTCTGTCTTCGATAAGAGAAGGAAAGACGGTGGGACGTGCGCGAGCGGCGCGGCGGATCATAATGCTCGCGGCCCAGGATGTCGCGCGAGAGTCGCGCGAAATCGAGCCGGTGACAACCAAGCTGCCGCGGCGGTGGGTGCGCGGTGGCGGGGGTCGAGTTAAAACACAGCTTGAAGTCCAAGGCAAACAGCTCAAGTTGCCAGAGTTGTGTCGGAACAGTACAAGCTGACGCCGCTCACTATCAGAAGACGGTGGTATATCCATGGCTAGTGGCTTATGTGCGTGCTGTACACCGGTGACAGGGTGACGAGGGATGTAGGGACGTTACCTTGGGGAACGGCCGCGGCGCGAAGACAAGATTTGGGGCCGCCCATCCAGCCGCGTACCAATGTGCGGCGACGGGCGGCCATGGCAACGTTGTCAGCATAACCGACATTCTTGAAGTTACGGCGGGCGATGACTGGGGATGGTGGTGGAGCGAAGGCAAGATGCAGAGATCTCAATCACTGATCATCTGTCAGTGTCGACGCCGCCGGCGAACGTTGATGGAGACGACGACGACGGCGCGGGCAACGCAACATGCGTTCAAGACCCGGAGAAGTGGCCAGCGCCGAAGGCGACGGACTTGTGGTGACGAGGAGTGAGGTCGATGGAAGAGAGCTGCCGCTTACTGGGGTGGGCGGCCATGTTAATCGCCGCCCTCCTCCCTTGGCTGAGAGCCGCCCTCTGTCACACGAGAGCCGCGCTCAGTTGTGCGAGAGCCCGCCCACAGCCGCGGCAGCACTGCCACGAGCCGCCCACCACAAAAAAGAGGGCGGCGAAATTAAGGCAAAAAGCCGCCCACCGCCGCGTCGAGCCGCCCACCCCAAAAAGTCCAAGGCCGTTGCTCAACAACGAGGCCACCGTTCGAGCCGCTCAGCAGCACGTTCGAAAGGTCTCGTCGGGGGCTATCGAACGCCTCAAGAATGTCGTTATTAAGTGAAGTATTGATATAGATATCGTCTACTCAATTTTCACAGAGCCGCCCACCAGCCGCTTCCGAGCCGCCCACCCCAAAAGCGGCGAAATCTTTTTGCCCGTGCTGATATATTTCGTGAGGCTGAACTTGGCGGCAGAGGGCATCCGCAAGAGCGTCCCCAGCGCGAACATCCGTACCCTCAACATCAACCTTGCGTCTATCGCCGCTGTGCGCAAAGCCGCGACGGAGGTGATTGCATATCCTGAGCCCATCCACGTGCGCAACGACGAAGCTTCTCACTCGCAACCTCCTGACATGGATTTCTCAGGTCCTTATCAACAACGCCGCCAAGCCATGGTGCGACTTCTCGCTGTCCGCTGACGGAATCGAAAGCCAGCTCGCGACGGGGCACGTCGGTCCGTTCCTGCTGACTAACCTCCTCGTCTCGAAGCTTTTGGCCTCGACCGAGCACACCCCGCGGGGCGATCTTTGTGTCCAGCATCGCGCAGGCGCTCGAGGGCGGGAAGGGTGTTGACTTTGACATGCTGCTCAAGCCTGATGCAGAGAAATACGACGCACCGACGGTGTACCACCAGGTGAAGACCGCCAATGTGCTCACGAGTGTGGAGCTGCTGCGTCGCACCGGCGGGCGGGTCAAAACGTATAGTCTGCATCCAGGGTGTAAGCATGCCCATATACCATTGGGGAATAACTCTGACATCTTCCCAGTGATCTACACTAACATGCTCGTCACGCCCCTTGCCATCCCGTTCTTCCAGGCCCTCGGCGCGCTCGACAAGGACGCTAAGCCCACGCCTACCGAACAGCTCTCGTGGAAGACAATCGCGCAAGGCGCCGCCACGTGCGCATTTTCCCCCACTTTAATCTGGATATTGGACTAAATACCGATAGCACCGTCGTCGCAGCGTTTGACCCGCGCATCGCCGACCAGCCAGGCACTTACCTCGACGACTGCGCTATCTCGGAGAACGGCGCGGCACCCCACAGCACGGACCCAGTATGCCCCGTTTGTCTTGCCAGTATTGAGCGGTATACTAATTTGCGCGCAGGAAATCGCCAAGAGGCTGTGGGAGGCGACGGAGGAGCTTGTTGGCGAGAAGTTTTCGTTTTGAGTCAGCCCAGTGAAGTATATTTCGGTGTATGACCAACTTTGAAGAGTATTTCGACGGACAACGAGGCGCATAAATCCGCAGTGAACGCTCGCGAAACTGTAGTAAACAGCGGGTAGTGTGCTACTTCGCGTGCCGACGAAAGACGGGGAGATGGCATCGGTTGAGCACCGTCCGATCCGAATTGCCGACTCGACGGGGAGACGCATGTGTCGGTAAAATTGAAGTGGTTCACAGATTGAGCACGCGATCAACCTGCGGAGCATCAGTTGGCACTGAACAAGGGATTTTGCAACCCTAATTACCATAAAGGCAAGTCCAGCGTCAAACAAAAATTTGCCTTTTTAGGCCTGGCCCCATGTTAACGGTATCGGGAGCACCTATAGTGCACCATATTCCCCTCTAGTTAGAGGGTCAGGACCCCCCACGCTGACCCTCTAACTAGAGGGGAATAGAGCACTATAGGGCACCCCCGCTAATTCAAGCTTAGCGCGCTGCTCTTCTCAGCGGGGGAGACCGCTCACTGGCGGTCACTGGCCCGGCCCTTGCCCACCGTCACCCCGCCGTCACCCCGCCGCCTGCCCCGCCACTGCCCCGACCCCGCCCACCCCGCCATCGTTGCCATCAGCGCGATGTGACGTCAACCCGATCAACATCAATGCCATCTGTCAACGACGTGGCGACCGTTGACGCCGCACGTTCCGCGGCTGTCCCGGCCTGTCGCCGTTGACGGCCCGCCCCCCGCGCTCACTGTGCTTGACGTCGTTGAGCACAGCGAGCTCAATTGTTGTCCGTTTGACACGGGACCATGTGTATTAGATAGATATGAAGTAATACAGTTGATTTCCATCACATTTAGGCCCGCGCATGCGCCGCTTGCCCGGCCGACCCTCCCCGCCCGCTGTCCCGCCCTCCTGCCCGCCCCCCGCCCGCCCCTGCCCGCCCCCCGACTCAAAAAATTGAAAGTTGGGAAATCGAAATAGAACACGTGCCGTATGAGTGGCATCACTCAAATCGCGTTCGTTGCTGAGATATAGCGTGTTCTTGTTAACTCAAGTTGATGATGTAATTTTTTAAAAAAATGAAAAAGTTGCGTATTGACTGGAAAGCACGGGCAGTACAAGTTTCACCGGAAAAAACGCGTTTATTGTCGAGATATGATGTGTTCTTGTTAACTCACTCTGCACTACGTATAGTTGTTAACTCAACTTTGATCGCAAAAAATAAAAGTTACATTTTGATCAGAAAACATATGCTATAGAGGTTTCACCTGAAAAGACATGTTTGTTGCAAAGATATGATGTGTTCTTGTTAACTCACTTTGTAATAAGTATAATTGTTAACTCAATGATTCTAATAAGATGATATTTCAATAAGTAGACAAGTTATAGAGTTGATTGAAGCACCACTCTAGATACCCAAATGATGAGACCAATATCCCCACCAACAGTATGTTATTAGTTCACCTATATCACTCATTGATTATTCATCAGACCCATTGATCTAGCAATATCTCCACCAGTTCTTTATAGATGTAGATGATTGCTATACAGGTAGACAGGTAGTGATATAGTCTTAAGATGTTCTGATATGAGTATAGTCTTATACCTTGGGACTATACTGTTAAACTACTTTTTTAAAGTGTTTTTGTTTCAAATTTGATC